ATTCCCTGACCCTCTGATTCTTCCTTAAGGTTGCCTGAGCTTTAGGTATAGGGGTTAAGTTGTCTATTTAGAAATTAGGGCAGGACATCCTATAATCAGTTATTCTCTTCATTTTAACCAGTACTGGATTTCTGTAATATTCTCCCTTTTCCACAAAGAGAAACCTCTTTTTGTTTTTTTGTAAAATTGTACTATCCCCCTTTTGCTTTCTTTTTATTCCATACACAGATAAATGTTGTTTTGTTATTAATCATGCATTCTAATTACCTATTCAGCATTCATCCTAATTATCCATTCAACATTCATCTACTTGCCAGGAAATCCAAGAGATGCAACAATTCAGAAGGCCAAGTTCTATTCTGGAGGAGCTTATAGCCTGTTTGGGGAAATAACTATGATAAAAAGCACAGTGTAAAATGTGCCAAAAGGGAAGTAGGCATCTTGGCTTCCTCATTTCTCATTTCCACAGATAATCAATAATTAATCCTACCTTGTATTTTGCTTATACCTGTCTTCCAAGGAAACCAAATGCCTTGCATATATGCTCTTGTGAACACTCTCCATAGCAGAAAAGCCTCATATTTGAGTTATAAAAGCCCATCAGCTTGCAGCCTGTGCAGCCCGTGTCTCACATGCTCTCTCATGCCATCCATTGGCGCAAGGCATTAAAATTCGGGTTGATCATCTAATGTACACGGCACCAGCACTGGAGTCACACACCTTATTTTGATTTATTTCTTTCAGAGCACACACCGCAACTTTTCATTTACAGACTATTCATTGATGAACCAGTTATTGGGACAGGAATGAGAAACAAAAAAAATGAAGTGATATTTATCCCACTTGGTCAGCAGTATGAAAAAAAAGTCTAAAGGCAAATTTGGGAACTTTTGGAATGCTGAGTTATATGAAGACTAACTGTGCAGGCATGGTGCTGATTGCCTGACCCTCCAATTTTATTTACCTGTTTGTTTGGGTCCCTTATGCTCTCATTTGATCCCCTCCCAACTTAGAAAGGTCGCACTTCATTCTGGGTAGCACTTTTATCACTCCAGGATTTGGGACTCAGATGTGACTTGGACAGGGTAGTGAGACTGTAATGAGCTGGAGTTCAGCCACAAATTGTTTGCTGAAGCTCATGTCGCTTATGGCTCTGCTGTTATTCTTCACAAGACTAAAAGAGCTTTAAGGAAGCCATGTGGAGATTGAAGCAGGATGTCTGAAGAGACTGGACAATAACCAGGAAAGAAGACAGGAGTGGAGGGGCACCAAGGTTTAAGATGAGCCTGTATAGCAGCCTACCTTGTATGTGATGTGACAGAGGTCCAACTCAGGCTATCAGAACCCAGAGAACAACTTATGGCAGCATAGAATCTAGCAGCCTTGGTCTAAGGAAACCCTGAGACTTTAGGATATCTTCCTTTGTTTCCCCACTATTTAGCTCTGGTCTCTCTCCTTCTCTCTCCCTCCCTCCTTCTCTCTCCCTCCCTCCCTCCCTCCATCCCTCCCTCTTCTCTCTCTTCTCTCTCTCTCTCTCTCTCTCTCTCTCTCTCTCTCTCTCTCTTTCCCCTCCCTCCCTCCTTCTCTCTCTTCCCTTTAATGAGATAAATTCTTCCCAAGAGGGTAGTCTTATGACTATTAACTGTCTCACAATTTTATCACTAGTAAGGGAGAGCAGGAAATTCTTCATAAATCTCAGTTATGAACATCCCTGGTGGAAGCTCATGATTGGCTTTTCTCATATTTTCTTCTTTGAATTTTTTGGTACAGTTCTGGGAATCAAATGAATGACCTCAGCAAACTTTCTGCCATGGAGCTATATCCCCAGCCTTAAGTTCTAGGTATTTTATTTACCTTGGTGCAAGAACACATTGATTGGAACCTCACCCCAATATAACAAACTGTTTCCTCTCCTGGGAAAAAGGAGTGATGTAAGCTGAAGCATCAATAATTACAAACTAGAAATCAGATTGGTCATCAGAGCAATAGACATGAGAAGCAAACCATGCATGAAAAATATACCTTCAAATACAGTGTTTCATTTCATTTGTTTTTATTATATGTTTTCCTGCTGGGCTGAAAGCTAGTGCAAGCCAACCAAAGATCTATGAATTTATGGAATCAAGAATTCCTCAACCTTATGTTCTTCTTATTGCTTCTTGTGGTCCATCCACACTATCCTTCCTGTGTCTGTTTCTTTTTGTTCATGTGTTTGCTGTTGTTTTTAATTTAAATTGTTTTCATCCAATACATTTTGATCATGTTTTCCACTCCCCAACTTCTTCTACCTACCTCCTTACCCTCCCAATTTTATGGTCTCTCTCAAAAGAAAAAAAAACAAAAAATATAAACAAAACAAAAACATGAAACAACCTCACACACACACACACACAAACTATGAAAATGAAAATCCAAACAAATAGAAAAAAGACGAATAGGACAAAAAATAAAGTAAAGCAAAATGAAATAAATAGTCCAAAAAGTTCATTTTGTGTTGACTAACTAATCCTAGACATAAGGCCTACCCTGGAATGTGGTTGATATAACCACATTGGAGAAAACTGATATTCACTTTGGCAGCAGGTATCAACTTCTCCCTCTCAGTGCTGGGGTCCTGTCTGGCTTGAGCCTGTAAACACCTTGTGTCTGCTGCCACAGTCTTTTGAGTTCATATGTGCATCATTCCTATTGTGTTTGAAATACACTGCTTCCTTGGTGTCATCCATCACCTCTGACTTTTACAATCTTTCTGTCTTCTTTTCTGCGTGGATCCCTGAGCCTCAAGGGGACAGATTTGATGAATAAATCCTATTTAGGACTGAGTACTCCAAAGTCTCTCATTCTCTGCATATTGTCCAGTGGGCCCTTGTGTTAATTACCATGTCCTGCGAGAAACAGCTTTTCTGATGCGGGTTAAGCAAGACACTAATCTATGGGTATATAGTATGTCAATGGAGTAATTTTCTTGGTGTGTTCCTTTACAGAATTATAGTATTATGTTTTTTCTCTAGGTCAAATGAATGAATGACCTGTCTAGTCTCAGGTTCTTGGTCACTCTAGCAGTGTCAGGTATGGATTCCATCTCATTAGAGGATTAAATGGAATAGGGGATGGGAGGGCACGGTAGAGGAGGGCATACAGGAAAGAATAACTAACATTAAAGCCTTTTGAAAAGTTTGTATGGCAACTTATTCCTGTCAAAGCTTACACACACACACACACACACACACACACACACACACACACGAGAATGAGGGATAGCTTAAATGGAGTTGCCTTATAAAGGGGAGAGAATTACCCAATTAAAAATCATAGGTTGCTAAATTAAACCCTTATTACTAGTAATTGGCTACATCTTTTGTAGTTGTTGGGCCCAGTAGGGTCCAATAGACACAACCTAAACATTGCAGGCTATTATTAATGCCATTGTTTTCCATGTAAACTTGATGGTAAGACCCTATCACTGAAGCCATGATATACTTGAGTCATAGAACATGGAGAAATCTATCTGACACTAATCTGGAAGCTTCATCCCTGTTGCCTAGCATTTCTTGTGTTGGAAGATCCTATGCATACTACTGAAGGAGAAAGGTAGTCTTCAATCTTACCCAGCTATGAACTCTGAAAGCTACAATAATGACCTGCCCAGCAAGATATAATCAGTAGCAAAATAATGGCATGAGTAGGTAATGGAAGTTACAGATCATTTTTGATTGGATTTTAAGTTCACTCCATGAGATGGGACCCATACTCAAGGCTGTCCAGGTGGTCAAGAACCTGAGGCTAGATAGATCATGAGCCCTAGGAGAAAACCTACCTCTATTCTGATAAATGAACAAAGTGATAAAAATGACTCCTCATGACACTGTTATATCCACAAATTAGTGCATCACTTGACTCTTATCAGAGAAGCGTCTTCTTGCTTTAGGTTGCAATTAGATCAGAAACCCACAACCAGTCAATGTACAGAGAGTAAGAGACTTAGAATGCTTGCCTCTAAATGAGATCACATCCTCGAGGCCCCTCAGTGATCAGGGATCTATGCAGAAGAGGATAAAGGAAGAATATAAGAGAAAGATGTAAGGTGAATGACTATTAGGGAGCAGTGCTTTTCTCAGACACTAAAGGGCAGATGCATATAAGGATTCACAGAGACTGTGACAACGTGTACAAAACCCACCTAAGCTCAAGACATACCAAAACCCAATATGGTAAAGGGCAGGTGGACATGAAATCCTACACCTAGCTGAAGGCTTATTGGCTTTTGTTTGGTGCTGGTAGAAGGAAAATCAATTTTATTCAGTGGAGTGACACAGTATATTGACCACACTCCATAGCAGAACCAATGCTTAGTGATAGTCAGCCAACACAAACAGGATTTTGTGTTTTTAAAAAATTAATTAATTAATTAATCCATTTGTTTTCATAGAAATAATATGGAGATAAGTGGGTAGAGATATCTGGAAGGATCTGGCAGTAGTTGGGGAGGGGATGAATAGGCTCATAATACATTGTCTGAAACTCGCAAAGAATAAACAAAAACAGTTTTTAAAGAAGTATGGCCTCAGATCAGCACATCTCCCAAGCACATGTTAGAAATGACATTATTTCTCCCCCTATCCAAAGAATAGAGGGAAGAATAGAGGAGAACAAAATAAGAGATACCATCAAAGAGGGATCCAGTATAGGTTTAAAGAGAAATCAGGCCCTAGGGAAATGTCCAGAGATCTACAAGGATGACACCAACCAACCATCTAAGCAACAATGGAGAGGCTACCTTAAATGCCTTCCCCTGATAATGAGATTGATGACTAACTTATATGCCATCCTAGAGCCTTCAGCCAGCAACTTATGGAAGTAGAAGCAGATACCAACAGCTAAACACTAAACTTAACTGGAATCCAGTTGCATAGAAGGAGTGATGAGCAAAGCAGACAAGACCAGGATGGTGAAACCCACAGAAACAGCTGACCTGAACAAGTGGGAGCTCTTGGCCCCCAGACTGATCACTGGAAAATCAGCATGGAACTGATCCAGACCCCATGAATGTGAGTGTCAGTGAGGAGGCCTTGGAAATCTATGGGGCCTCTTGTAGTAGATCAGTACTTATCCCTACCATAGGAATGGACTTTGGGAGCCCATTTCACATCAAGGGCTACTCCCTCAGCCTAGACACATGGGGGATGGGCCTAGGCCCTATCCCAAAGGATACGACAGACTCTGCAGACCACCTCCATGGAAAACCTCACTCTCCCTGGGGAGTAGAAATGGTATTGGATAGATAGGGTTTTAGTTAGGGGGGAGTGGTAGGGGAGGAGAGGAGGGAGAGGGAACTGGGATTGACATGTAAAACAATCTTGTTTCTAATTTAAATAAAAAAATGGAGGGAAAATGACATTATTTTTAATGTTCCTTTAGCAGTTTGTGTCTTAGCAATGTCTCCAATTGACTCTGTCCCACAGCCACAGCTTTAGGACATTTGCAAGCCAATTGATTTCAGCTAAAAGGTAAGGAGATACCCCTGGGGAATTAGAGCCCACTGCTCTAGAGAATTGGGGATTGGATACTGATGGCTGTCTGTCATCACTTGCTGCTCTGAAGGGATTCCCAGAACTTCAACTCCACAGACTTGTAAATATATGATAATATTAGCAAACCAGAATGAATTGGTTATTGTCATGTTTTATATTGCTTGTTTACAAAACCTCACAAAACAAAATAAAAACCACAAACCCCACAAAATAAACAGTTTATGATCTCACATTTTTGTAAGTCATTTGGCCAATACAGATATCAAGAAGTTACAATCAGAATGGGCAGGGAGGCAGAGATGTTTCTTTATAAGGTCTTGGGGAGAATCTACTTCCTTGACTTTCACATGTCCCAGAGCCTACTTTACTTCATGCTTACAGCTTTAACAGTACATCCTGGTGACTATTCTTCTGTAGTCACATCTGTCTCTGGTCATAGCCAGAGAAAGCTCATCAATTGTTAGGACCATAGATCCTGAACGTAGTTGATTGTTCAGTCCCTTTTTCCATTTCAGGGACTCTATTCCCAGAACCTAGGATTAGGATGCAGACATCTTGGACAGCATGTACTCTGCCTAAAACAGTTAGCATAAATGGAAGGCTGGAATGCAGGACCTTCAGTATGAAAAGCAGAAGGGTCTTGGGTAAAACCAGGACAAGGCCATCCCTTAATTGGAGAACAGGGCACAGAGAAGAGTGACACTACTGTGATGGAGGTCACATCATGCGGTGTTGAGAGACCCCGAGGCCAATCTACACCTCCGTGCAGAACTGATGAGGAGGCAGATCTGCATTCCGTAGTGGACTAGCCCATGATTTTATGTGACCTGGCTCCAACTTTCTCATTTCCTTGCTACAACAGGGCCTCTCAGTTGTAGACCTTTTTTCCTCATAGTGAGGATAACCATACTAATTTATGGCTAATCTCTAACCATGGGTAATTCATTGTTGCTTATAAAATGCCACATTAAATACCGCTCTCATTGAGTTATCAAGTTCTGATAGTAGCAAAAACAAATCACGATATTAATTGTCTGAATCTGGCTCTGTGTGTGTGATCAGCATGCGACCAGGGCCTTGCTGCGCCCTAAAGAGAAATAGAGAGACACAGTCACAGGAAGGCAGCCTGTAGTACAAGCTCTTGCAGGGAATCAATGTTCCATGAGTATTTTACTGTGTATGGTATATATTAAGAACATATTTGTCCTGGGTAAATATCTAGCTGTCTTTAGTTCTATCATCTATTTAGATGAACTTCTCCCAACCCAAATTCCCTTTACCATAAAAGCTAGAAATGGAAGCATAGCCTGTTAATTATGCAGCTGAAGTTTTTAGATGCAAAGTCAAAGCGATGTTTACCCCTCTGTTTATACTGACCAGCTGGAATTCAAGTCAAGTAAGGATTTGGCTTTCATGAGGGAAGTGATAAGTAACAGACTACATTAGAGTCCAACTGGTTCTTTGTTAGGGAGACAGCACAGCTATTTGGGCAAAGATAGATACGGAGAATTCAAATTCAAGTTCCTTATTACTTGTGTTTCTTAGAGGCATTTTTATTTCCCCTATCTTATTTGCTTACCTTTAAAACTATGTATTAATACCTAATACTTACTATGATTATATTTATTGTATAATAACATATATTAAGCTCTAAGTATCTGGCACTCCAGGGTCATGGCACAGATGGACAGCAGTTATTAATATCATTAGTTAATAATCTAGGTATTTCCAATAAAGGATTTATCAAAGTGTTAACTATTTTCACACTTTCCAAAGCTGCCTATTCAACAAGTTCTCTGTGTTGTGTCAGATTAAAACTGAGAATTCTGGCAATGAAATGAACAACACCCATTCTCCAGGAATTCATGGGCTCCCTGTAGAGATGCACTCTCTTGAGCCGGAAGCCAAGCTGGTGATATTCGGGGGAGCAGAGTACATGTGCACTTGGGAAGCAGTATGAGTTGAACTAAGTTACAGAGATGAAATCAGTCTGATGTGAACTGGGAGTCACTTCTCACTTGGCATTGCTGCAGCACTGCCTACTAAGGAGTGACTGGAGCAGAGGATGGAGACACCAGTGGGGAGCTGGCAAGACCTTCTGTGTTAGTATACATTATGTAAAGGACGTGAAACTTACCTTGAATGGTAACGACCCACTGGGAGTGTTAAGGAAGGAATGACCTGATGTCATAGATTCATTTTAAATATCAGCCCACCCACTCTATGAATTACAGATTGAAGAGAAGCCATGCTGAAACTGGGCAAATGAATACCAGTCATCATATTTATACAAAAGGGAAACTGGCTGAGTTGCCTTGCGAGTATTTAATTGAGAAACTATTTACAGAGTAAATATGCACAGTTAAAGGACTCATGACTTCTACTAAAGCAACTGGGAAGCAATCTTGGTCTTGCAGGATTATGAAGAAATAATGAAAGGTGGGGCTATACAAAGAGAAAATCCTGATAGTAGCTAGAGCTTTTCTTAGTATCAGAACTAAACTCTGAGGCTTTCATTTATGAACTGCTTCCTGGAGAAAATAAGGAATAAGAGAAACAAGGAAGGGAAAAGATCAATGCATATGTACCACTGCTTCCTACCTAGTGGAAGAAACCTGCTTTGTGATGTGCTAGGAGTGAGTAGGAGTTACAGTCATGGTACTAGCCCTCAGATACCTGATTTTCATCTTGATCATTGATGAAGAGTGGGAAGTACATGCTTACGGAGCTACAGTAGAGATTAGCAAGAGTAAGGATTTGTGATGTGGTGTGCAAATGTCAGGTTAGAGTTCTAGGGACATTAAAATATTTTAAATACGATTGGTGTAGGAAATGAACTCAGAACCAATGTCACTAGGGAACCTGGGTTTAGTTCCTCTGGAGTCTATGTTGATTTTCTGTACTGATGTTAGACTCTGAACCAGTTCCTAGGCATGATTCACCATGTTTTTTCTAATGTAATATCCTAATTATTAATTTCATATGATAATAGAGAAATTAAGAAATATTCTTGTACTTTAAACTAGATATAGCACCAAAATGATGACATATCTGGTACAAATTACTATGACTGCTATATTTTAAAAAAGCCAATATGTTTAAAAAAAAAGCCAATATGTATGACATGGAATCTCTGTGACAATGTGGGTTCTGTTGGCCAGATACTTTACTGTTACCCAGAGTTATTTGAAACCTACAAGCTCTGAAAACAAATACAGTTGTAGCCTTCTGAAATGATTTAAAAATCTATGTCTTGTCATTGCCATTTTGTGTTACCTTCGAAATTTCTCTTGATATCTGGGGTATAGAGTAGCTCTTCAAGTGATGCTAACATCTGTCAGATTAGCCTAGGGAAGAGCCTGTCTTAACATATGATTCCATTGTGATCAGCTCAGGTTACTTCCAGTGGCAGCAGGAAATACTGGTAACCTAGGCAACACTGGTAGCCCTTCCTACTTTCTTTTAATTGAAACAGCTGTTGCTAGGATACAGTCTAACACCAAAAAAAAAAAAATAGGGAAAAGAGAGGGAGCAAGTGATTGAGAGGAAGAGAATGAAGGGTTGAGAGAATGAATAAAGAGAAATGACAGGTCTTGAAAGACTAAGGAAAATGTGAAGTGGAAACAGTAAGTGGAGCTAGAAGGACAGACTTACTAACACCAGGCTGTTGTGTCATAAAAGTTAGCATGGGGTGGGAGTAGAAGTGGAATGTTAATTTCTAGCTTACTAAAAATTAATAATTCATGCTTCATTTTGATTTTGAGTTTTCTCAAGTAAACTACTTATCTTTAATGTGAGCAGCTTCATACTGCCTTGTGAAGAAAATATTCATTAGCTTTCTTTCCCTTATTTTTAATCAACTCTCTCAACCCCCATCAGTGCTCCTTCTTCTGCTGCTTCATTTTTTTTTTCAGCTAGAGTCAGAGAATAGTGTATCTGCAGAGGCTCGCACTATATTAAAATTCAGTGGCTGTTTCTCTGTCAGAAGGGCACAGGAAGAGTTTCCCCTGTGTCTAAGAGAAGTCATGACCCTGTCATCTATACTTCTGGCCTCATACTCTTTTCCCCCATTCATGCATATGCCTGGATCCTGGGTAAAGACGAATAGCTTAAGCAGCTGACATCCTCTGGGTTCAGGCGAAAGGTTATGATTGCTTTGGTCAGTGGTAGCTTTTGTTTGGCAGGTGAGTCATGCCGTGCAAGACTAACAAATCATGAGCATTGGCAGTTCTGTGGAACATATTCTCCCATCAGGGGTGTGGGTGGGAATCAATCTGAGCACACCCCCTATTTCCAGAAAACAAATGTGTTACCCAAGACAGAGTTCTAAAGCAATGTGTGGTTTTGAGAATGTTAGACAACTTGTAATAATTTAAGAGATTTTGTATGTTTGCTTGCTATGGTGTCTCTAGCACCTAGAACATTGAGAGCATGGTGGATACTCAGTAAGTGTTGATAAATGAATGGGAGCAGGGAGACAAAACAACCTACTCTACCTTTCTTGGCAACTGTTGCATCACTATTTCCAATCTTAGTGTCCAACAGGTGCCTAGTTAATAGCCCTAAAGGCTCGCTTCATTATCAATGTATTGTCTTCTCACTATAGTGATGGATTCATGGATAAGTATGACGGAGTCAAAGTGGTGAAACTAATTTCAGGCAAAAAAGAAGAACACTTCTCATTTTCTTCCCATGGGATGTGAATGAGCAATTGGTTTTTGGTTTGTTGGCTTGCTCTGTTTTTTTTTTTTTTTTCTTTCTGTAGCCATTTATGAACATTGCAGCCTAAGGATGAATTAATTCTAATGAAGTGAGCAGAGAAAGGAGAGCTCTGATTTTCTTTCCCAGTAACTATTTCCAAGACACTTTAAAGCCACAAAAATTGGGACAAGTAAATTTAAGGACAAGAGTGAACTTTATCACCTGTATTTCACAGTGTACTGGAGCCACAGGTACACATGTTTGGAGATGCCCCT